CTGCCATTTCACGTGACTTATGTCAGAAAAAAAGTAAAAAATCAAAACATCATCAAGCAGTTACGATCCAGATGGTTTCGTCATCCAAGAGGTCAACATCTCGGAGCGACTTGTAGTCAGTCGCAGAACCTCAACCTCACCGAGCACCCATGGAAAGTGTTAGATTAGTGATCAGCAAGGAAAAAAGTGTTTTTAATCATAAATGAACTGTCCCATTCGTTTCAAGGGAATGGTGCGAATGCGCTTAGGCACCCTCTGAGACCTTTTGAAACCGTGAGAGTAATCAAGTGGAATGGCAATCGGAACAACAGAGCTCTTTATACTTCACGATCGCGAAGAAGTATGAACGAGCTTTTGGGCGCTGAACCGTTACCCTTGTTGCATTTCTGTTGATATTTCCCCCTTGTTTTGGTTCAAAGTTAGCACAGCTGAAAATGTGGTTATAGGTGTCTGCACATAGGTGCGCTACAGCGCCCCAGATAAACCGTGAACTGGTAGGAGCAAACATTAAAGAAGAATACAAATCGGGAACTCCCATTTACACCAATGGTAGCTCTCTGGACTTTAATTTTTAACAAGTCACGGTATGTAGGACCATGATCTTCAGCTAGCTCCAAAACGCACAGATATTCTGCTCTTTCTGCAGGTCTGATGACAGGGATAGAGCTATCTCGTTTCGCGGAAACCTTGAATACCTTGGTTCGTTAAGTTCTGTTCACTTTAGAACATCGCAAAGATAACGAAGTGGTGCTTCCCTTGCTCGAATAGCCCACTACTTCAACTCATTTTTAGGTCTCCCGATGAATATGTCAGTGTTATCATCCTCCCAGACGAGTCTGGTATCAATTTACCGCGCCCGCACGGTAAAAGGCTAGGTTGGCCTAGGACGGGAGTCGACCCGGGATATTGCAAATAACTAAAGGAAGATAAGTAGACTAGTTAGAGGTATTCTCATTGGCAGCGGTGTTCACTAGTTCTCCTTTTACCACTACGATTTTGATTTAACTTTTTGTAATCCGCTGCGACAGTGTCAATATTCCCCTTAGTTGGTTTAGCCCATCTACAACAATCCATTTTTCTTCCTCTTACACGTATTTAGTACTCACACCTGTTATATCCTTCTCTCATTTTCCTGTACAATTCCTTCTCATCTTTATTGCATGAATTTTGCATGTCAACTTTTTTACATTTTTTCTCGTTTTATCCTATTTCTTAACTCCTTCCCCTATGTAGTCCATGTCGTCAACCCTGTCGCACTGAAGAGCCCGGGGGTTGGTAAGACATCGATGATTCGTCTGCGATAACGGGCGAAACGGATCATCTGTGCTTTGGAGTGTATTCCTTTCCCCAATATTTGTTTTTCTTTGTTTCTAATTACCTCCTTTCGAACCCTGCCGCACCCTGCGTACGGCTCCAGTGAATTCTGCAGGTTTATTCCCAATTTCAATTGCATGGGATGTGCCGCTGTTGTGTACGATTACTTTTCTAGGAGTATGATATGTTAGAAAACTTCTGAGAGTTCTTCGGAATATTGTCTCTGTTTTTCTCTAGGGCGGAGCCAGCGAGATCGACACGCATCTATTGCTTTTCGCCGAATCGCGA